ATCTTCGTCATCATCATCATCATCCTCAACCAATGGCTCTTCATGCTGCAAGCAATTATGAATGACAAATATATAAGTGTACTCTTCATTGTTCATAAGGATAAGACACAGTGCCATAATCTAAAAGATAAAAGAAAATGCCAATTAAGTTCATAGCTTTCCCAAACCTCTCAAAGCATAACACATTTATAAAACACAGAGAGGTATATAATCTTAGGATACTCGAGTCGGAACAATGTGTTTGAGAATTGACAGGTCTCTGTTAAGTTTGTTTTCAGGGCTAGTTCAAATTACAGGACAAGAAATTCAGAGCTAGTAAACAATGGAAACAAAAGAAAACTAATTATGCTGCTTGCTGTTCTCTTAATCTGTCGAAAAAAAAAAAAAAAAATCTTACATACTAGAAGAATAAGTGAGGAGAAATTCACTAATATACGTCTTGGCTTGTTTTTTTTGCTCAAGCTCATAGTCTTCCATAAGCAAAAAATAGGAAGGCATGTTTTACACTTTGCTTCGAATGATTTCAATTAATCAAGGCAGCTTAAGTTGAAAAAGCTGTTGGAAGATAGATTCATAAAAAAAATGTTTCTGATGAATCCAAGTTTAAGCCCCGAATTTGTTGATAATTCTTCATTTCCTCTACATTCAATCAATAATAACACACAAATACTCTCTCTCTCTCTCTCTCTCTCTCTCTGTCATTAGATATTTTCTACTTCGAATTTCCAAAAGGGGGTAAATCGAACGAATATCGACAAGAACCTAGATCTAAAAATCAAATCTGAGGACAATAAGAAACATAGAAACCTAAACAAACATCCTCAACCTGTCACCAGCTTCTGTTCATTCAAATTAAACCAGCTTTTCAAAAGAAAAATGGAATACACAACATATAAACTCAAATAATCTCTGTTGCGTGTTTTGGGTGAGAGATAAAGCTTACATCGATCTTCTGCTGCTCGAGATGAGCGGCCAGCAATTCTTCTTGCGATTGAGTCATGGTTTAAGCCTTGCGGATAAAAAGGAGTGAACAAAAAGAACCCTAGAAGTGATGAAGAGATACAGTGTACTGTGAAAATCTTTGAACGAATTTAAATGGGCACAAAAAAAAAAGGGTTAATTGCCAAAAAAATCCTGACCTTTTGTTAAATTGCAAATAAATTTCAACTTTTTCAATTTTGCAAATAAATCTCAACCTTTATTAATTATTGCAATTTTGTCTCAATTTTGAACTCCGGTCATCCGCCGCCACCCGCCACCGCCCAACCTTGCCGGAATTGAAAACTTTTTACGTCATCGTGTAGCTCTCCTTCCGGGCAACAACATATCCGAAGTTCGTGTAAAAATTACGACAATAAGTGGTCCAATTTTCCGGTAAAAGCAAGTAGACCGCCGCCCGTCTCCGGCAAAATTGGATCCCTTATTGTCGTAATTTTTACACGAACTTCGGATATGTTGTTGCCTGGAAGGAGAGCTACACGATAACGTGAAAAGTTTTCAATTCCGGCGAGGTTGGGCGGCGGCAGGTGGCGGCCGATGGCCGGAGTTCAAAATTGAGACAAAATTGCAATAGTTAGTAAAAGTTGAGATTTATTTGCAAAATTGAAAAAGTTGAGATTTATTTGCAATTTAACAAAAGGTCGTGATTTTTTTGGCAATTAACCCAAAAAAAAACACTGTAAAGAAGGGTTCGCTGTTTTAAAAAATCTACTCCATGGTTCACTGTGCGTTTTAGCCTTCATTAAAGATGACATAATTTACTTTGGTGCCTTTTTTTTTAGTGATGGCTAGGTAAATGAGTCGAACTCGAGCATGTTTAGCTAAAAATGAAGTTCGATTTGTTAAAATTCGAATTTAGTTTGTTAATATCTCTTGATTAAGCTAAATCTTTGGATCGAATTTTGAGTTGAAATTATGTGACTCTTATCTGAAGAAGTTAAACTTTGTAGATGAATCGAGTGGTTTTCTGAAGCAACTATCCAGATGTGCCTCGTCTCGTTAAAAACTCGAGTTCGAATACGATGAGCTCTAACTCTAGCTCTAAATCTGTATTTGTTTTTACTTCTTTTGCTCCTTTTTTTGGTACAAATAAAGGAGGCAAAAGCCTAAGACTATCAAATAGTTATATTCTGTGAGTGAGCAATGACAACGAAGTCATGCTGTAACCACGGGCTAATTACTGATGGTGGAACGAATAATCTCTGGCAGCCAGTAGGGCACCGATGAGCTAGAGACGCCAAACAGTCTGCCACAAAATTGGCTTCTCGATAAAAAACCATGGACACCACGCTCTTGTTATCAACTTCCGCAACAATGCTACGCTAGCCCATATCCCAACTCAAAAAACATACAAATTAAAATTTGAAGAATGATTGAATATCCTCCCTATATATAATTCCAGAATGCGCTGAGCCTACGTGGCTGTTTCTGGTGCTTCGGAATCCTATTTGGCGAAGAATCATGCTTCGTAATTAGGTTTGGATGAATAATATTGATATATTAATAGTTAATCATCTAGGTTCGAGTATTCCATAAATAATATTTAGCTAACTTAGGTATTTTAATATCACTTTTACTAATATAACCCTTTAATTTTTTTGTAATTTTACATAGTGAGGCAATAAGTGACTAATATATCCCTGAATTTTGATTTGTATCATTCAATAAGCTATTGAATTATAAATGTATTTTAAAAGTTGATAACTTTTGTATTTCTTATCGGTTTTACGTATATAATATATCAAATTAATCATCTTTTGATGATCTTCGATTTGACATCCATATTGTATATATGAAATAAATAAATTATATTTATCTTTATAATAATAAAAAATAATAATATTTATTAAAATTCATTAGAAAAATAAAATTATTTCTCAATTGATATATTTATATCTAAGGTAGTTATATATTGTAAGTAAAAAAAAAATAGTATAATATAACACAAGTAAGTCGCACAAATAAAAAGTGTCACAATAAATATATAATAATATATATATTCTTATAAAAGGTATTTAAATTTTCAAACTACTTTTTTCTTATTAATTTTAGATTTTAAGAAAAAAATTAGCAAGCACCGTCTAATACACTGTAGTGTTGTACTAGTAATATAAAAAACCACAATTACTAAAATTAATTTATTATAAAAATAATGCAATATTTAAAATTAGTAATGGATAATAAAATATATAGTTATTATTTTTTTTATTATAGGAAAATGCTACCATCCCGTTACGGGATGGTTCCGTTGTGTTTTTAAGCGTTGGATTAACTACCCAACACTATATTACATGTATATCTATGGCTAAAAAACACAACGGAACCATCTCATAACGGAATGTAGCATTATCCTTTATTATAATAATAGTGAATTACATAGTCGTACCACACAACTAGAAATTTGGCTGCTCTTTCTTTCGTCCACACAGAAGAAAAAATCCCCAAAAGTTGAGGTGAGTGATTTGCCTAGATTAAGAACACTGGCTAAATAATTATATGTTTGGCTGATTAATTGCTTTATACTGTATATCTATGGTTTTTGCAAGATCAATTAATTTGTTCTCGTATATTGGCTCGTTTTGGAGATTGTAACACCATTTGTGATACGTCTATTCTATACCCTTCACTGAAAAAACTCGCTAGAGGAGGATTGGGAGCTGTATACGTGTTTTCTCTGTGCGTCTGTTTCGTGTTGTCGTGGTTATTTTGTCTAGTTTTCAATCTGTGAACAGCTAGCCTTTTGGTTCCGTAGTTATCTGTGTTTTGTTTTGTCTGCAGTGTTGAATTATGGTGAATATATGTTCTGGGCTGATTGAATTCTTGAATTTCAGGTGGTTTCTTCTCACATATCTTTTGATTTTGTTAACTTGAGTGGCTGGGCCTTGAAGCTAGGTTAGGGTTTCGTCTTCTTGATTTTAGTCGAGTAGTTTGGAGATTTGCGAGATGGATGTGGTCACCGAGATTCAGAAGATCAAAGAGGAGAGGCAGAAACTGGAGAAAGAAATTGCTGCTCTCGATTCACTGACTTTCGACACCGATCTCTACAGCACAAACAAATTTGAGGGCTACGAGCAGTCCATTCCTGTCAATGACGACGAGGATAATTTCGATGCCACTGAGAATGAGATCGCTCGGAAGATATCGTCTTTTACTGCCCCTAAGCAATTCTTCGAGGAGCCCCTGAGAACTGGGGAAGATGATGAGATGTCCGGGTTCAAGCAGCCGTCGATCGGGAAGATGATTACAGGCGGAGAAAGTTGAACCGGATAATATCTCCCGATAGGAATGACCCGTTCCTGGACTAGACCCCAGGGCTCGAGGTCAGGACTTATGCTGATGCCATGCGCGATGAAGCTCTGAAGCGTAAGGAGGAGGAGATAAAGCGGAGATAGCTAAGAAGAAGAAAGAAGAAGAGGAGCTGAAGGACAAGGCAAAAGAGAAGGAGACCACCGAGAAGCCCAAGAAGAGGAATAGATGGGATGTTTCACAAGACGAGAACTCGGCTGTTAAAAAAACCAAGTCGGGTTCTGATTGGGATTTACCCGACTCGACGCCTGGAATTGGGAGATGGGATGCAACACCCACGCCCGGGAGAATAGTTGACTCGACACCCTCGATTTCCCGAAAAAATTGGTGGGACGAGACTCCAACTCCCGGGCGCCTGAACGACTCGGACGCCACCCCTGCCGGCGGCGCAACACCTGGTGCGATGCCAGCTGGCATGCCTTGGGACGCCACCCCGAAACTAGGAGGTCTGACTACCCCGACCGCGAAGCGCCAGCGGTCGAGATGGGCCGAGACTCCAGCTGCTACTACTATGGGCAGCGCCGCACCCGGTTCCACCCCGGCTGCAGCGTACAGACCCAGCATGACTCCTTTCGGTGCAGTCGATATGGCCACCCCAACTCCGAGTGCAATTATGCACGGGGCAATGACTCCCGAATAGTATAAATTGTTGAGGTGGGAGAGGGATATCGAGGATAGGAACAGGCCGCTTGCAGATGAGGAGCTCGATGCGATGTTCCCTCAGGAAGGGTACAAGATATTGGATCCTCCCGCATCGTATGTGCCGATCAGGACACCTGCCTGTGTGCTTCTTGCCACACCTACCCCTATGAGTACTCACTCCTCTCTATAACATCCCCGAAGAGAATCGCGGGCAGCAGTTTGATGTGCCGAAGGAGATGCCTGGTGGTTTGCCGTTCATGAAGACTGAGGATTATCAGTACTTCGGTTCGCTGCTGAACGGGGAGATTAATGAAGAGGAGTTGTCTCCCGATGAGCAGAAGGAGAGGAAGATCATGAAGCTGGTGCTGAAGGTTAAGAATGGTACTCCTCCTCAGAAGAAAACTGCCTTGAGGCAGTTAATGGATAAGACGAGGGAATTTGGTGCTGGGCTGTTGTTCAATCGCATCCTGCCGCTGCTCATGCAGCCAACACTGGAAGACCAGGAGCACTTGCTAGTTAAAGTTATAGATCGGGCGCTTTATAAGCTGGACGAGTTGGTCCGTCCTTACGTGCACAAGATCTTGGTAGTTATTGAGCCACTGTTGATAGACGAGGACTATTATGCATGTGTGAAAGGGAGAGAAATCATCTCGAATCCTAGCAAGGCAGCTGGGTTGGCCACTATGATTGTCGCTATGCGTCCAGACATATATAACATCGATGAGTATGTTTGGAACACTACTGCAAGAGCTTTTAGCGTTGTGGCCTCTGCTTTAGGTATTCTCTCGTTGCTCCCATTTCTGAAAGCCGTGTGTCAGATCAAGTCATCCTGGCAAGCTCGTCACACGGGTATAAAGATTGTGCAGCAGATTGCTATTCTAATCGGGTGTGCTGTTCTCCCACACTTGCGTTCTGTGGTCGAGATCATTGAGCACGGCTTGAATGATGAGAATTAGAAGGTCCGAACCATCACGGCGCTGCCACTGACAGCCCTTGTCGAGGCCTTGGCACCGTACGGTATCGAGAGCTTTGACTTGGTTTTGAAGCCCCTCTGGAAAGGTATACGGTCCCACCTCGGCAAAGTGCTGGTTGCTTTCTTGAAGGCCATTGGTTGCATCATACCCCTAATGGACGCAATTTATGCCAGCTACTGTACAAAAGAAGTCATGGTCATCCTGATACGCGAGTTCCAATCGCCCAACGAGGAAACGAAGAAGATTGTTCTAAAAGTCGTGAAGCAGTGCGTTAGCACCGAAGGCGTGGAACCCGATTACATCAGGAACGACATTCTCCCCGTATTTTTCCGAAATTTCTGGGTCCGAAGGATGGCTCTCGACAGGAGGAACTACAAGCAGCTGGTCGAGACAACGGTTGAGATTGCCAACAAAGTCGGTGTTGCCGATATAGTGGGCAGAATAGTCGAAGACCTCAAGATGAGAGTGAGCCTTACAGAAGGATGGTCATGGAGACTATCGAGAAAGTTGCCACAAACTTGAGAGCATCCGATATCGACTCATGTTTAGAAGAACTCTTGATTGACGGTATACTGTACGCGTTCCAGGAGCAAACGAGCGATGATGCGAAAGTGATGCTCAACGGGTTCGGTGCGTTGGTCAACTCCCTTGGTCAAAGGGTGAAACCCTACCTCCCCCAGATTTGCGGTACCATAAAATGGCGGCTCAACAACAAGAGCGTCAAAGTCCGTCAGCACGCGGCCGATCTCATTTCAAGAATAGCCGTCGTTATGAAGCAGTGTGGGGAGGAGCAGCTGATGGGCCATCTTGGCGTTGTGCTGTACGAGTATTTAGGTGAAGAATACCCCGAAGTATTGGGTTCTATGTGCAGGAGAATTGCATAGACCTCGTGGGAAGGATAGCCGACCGAGGGTCCGAGTTTGTGCCCGCTCGGGAGTGGATGAGGGTATGCTTGGAGCTTCTCGAGATGCTCAAGGCCCACAAGAAAGGAATCCGGCGGGCCACTATTAACACGTTCGGCTACATAGCCAAGGCCCTCGGCCCACAAGACGTGCTCGCGACCCTGCTCAACAACCTTAATATCCAAGAAAGGCATAATTTTATCGTGTCTGCACGACTGTGACGATAGCTATAGTAGCCAAGACGTGCTCGCCTTTCACGGTCCTCCCGGCATGAACCAGTACCGTGAGCCCGAGCTAACGTGCAAAACGGAGTCCACAAGTCTCTTTCCTTCCTGTTCGAGTACATTGGTGAATTGGGCAAGGATTATATATACGTAGTGACCCCTTTGCTCGAGGATGCTCTCCTGGACTCTGTTTGTCTGAACTTTTCTTCCTTTGTTTGGTGCTTTGAGTTGATTGCTGTTTTTTTAGGGTGTGTTGGAGTAATATTTTTTGGGACTTGTTTCTATTTTGGTGAGTGTGCCCATTAGGATGTTTTGGCTGTGTTTTTTTATCTTTTATGTAAGGGGATGTTATATCTATGTTCTGCTATAGCTATAGCTATTGACTATTGTGACTTAATGAGAGTATTTTGTGGTTTAAGAAAGATGTTATTGTTGTTTTACTTCATTTTCATTTTTGTTGAGGTTGTGTTATGAATAATTCATTTTTAGCTTTACTCTTAATAATAATAATGGTATGTTTCTTAGAAAAAAAATTCCATTTAATTGAAAATTGATTCTAATATCAATCAAGGTATTTTTTTAGAGTAATGATCATTCAATTGCAAAATCCATATACATGGAAATAGCCATAGATTTTTCATTTTCGTATCTTTATAATTCATTTTTTATAAAATAAAACTAACAAACACCAATAGAATAAAGAAATATTAAATATATAAGATATATTACTATTAAATTATGTTAAAAATATTTTAAAAAGAAATTTCAAATAAATAATTAAAATAATTTTATATTTATTTATTGTTCATATTTTACTTAGATATATTAAATACTTCCCATAAAAATAAAATTTACAGACATATAATATTTTTATTTTTATATAATCATATATATTATAAACTGAATCAATTATAAATGATTATATAGTACCACATATGCTTATAAGGGTTTACGTAATGATATATTTATATTAGTTAATATAAGATGAGTGCAATAATATAAAAATTAATTATTAAAAATATATAATAATTAATAAAATAAAAATACTAATAATATTATCATAAATAATAAAATAACATTGATGTAAATATTTAAAAGATCAAAATACTGGTTAATGAGGATATAGGATGATATACCGTTTCATCCATCCATTCATGTTTTATTTTTTCCTTATAACAAACGTATAAATGTAAAAACTCATTTAGTTAGTTTTCCATAATGATTTCATTCCTATCAAAATAATTTCATTACTCTATAAGAAGTAGAAATGGTATTAGCCATTGATCATTTTGCATTTAGAAAATAATTCAATTATTATTATTATTGTTATTATGATAATTATTATCATAAATATTGGAAAGACAAAGTTTAGAAGACGATGAAAATGAGAAAATCTGTGAAGTCAACAACTGAAATAAAATTATAGTAACATTATATTAATTTAGGTGGATTGTAGTTAATTGTTATCAGATTTAACGAGTAAGAACAATAAAAACATCAATCAGTAATAATGTAATAATATTCAGCCAAAATTAATGTAATTGTTTTTTTTTTTTTTTTTTTTTTGACCATAATACAGCATACAATTTACCATAATCCATGAACAAATTGTTAAAATAAGAAAATTACATTTGTTGTATGATTATAAAAGGTCAATGGTCAATAAACTCAACTTTGAAATGATACAGACCAATAATGTCCTTAAAAAACATTAGCAACTAAGGTGATGTTTATCAATTTACTTCAAGAAAAACTCAATGAAAAGTCAACTCAACCTCACTATCTTAAATATTATAAATTTAATTAAATTATATCCATCAATTATTCAATTAATCATTCTTACATAATACATCAATTTTAATTTACTATTAATACACTTACATAATTTAACTAACTATTGTTTTTAATCATTTTTCTCTTACTTTTAAATCATTTTAACTTTAATTATTTTATTTTAAATATTATTTTAATATATTCACTAACAACTAACCATACTAACTTTTTTCAAAAGTAACTATACTTAAAAAAACAATTAATTGTTAGATGAATTAATAAACAATCACCCTACATCAATTATAATAAAAGTAATTTTATTAATAACACGTATTTCGAAAATACTGTTTTAAAATTTTTATATATAAAACGTATTGTCGCAATACATTTTAAGTTTATTAAATTAAGTTAATTATGTAATTAATTTAATTAATTTTAAAACATAGTTCGAAAATACGTTTTACTTTATAAAACGTATTTTCATAATGCGTCATTTTTATTTTTGTCCACCCTTTTTTATTATTTTTGTCCACTAATTTTTTTATTTTTTTTATTTTTGTTTGGATAAAAAATCGGTATCAGATTTAGTGAGAGTAAGAACAAGAAAATAAATCAATCCATATTAATGTAATAATATTCATCCCAAATTAATGTAATTGTTTTTTTTTTTTTTTTCTTTTTATATACCATAATCCATGAACAATTTGTTAAAATATGAAAATTACTTTTGTTGAATGATTATAAAAAGTCAACGGTCAATAAACTCAAATTTTGAAATGATACAGATTAATAAGACCTTAAATTATAAAAAAAAAAAAGCAACTAATAAATAAATAATTACAAAAATATAATGGAAGTGCAGAGTACGAAGCACACACAACAAAATGCTTTATATCACACCAGTGAATAATAATATAATAAAACACACACATACACACACACACACACACACACACACACACACTGAGAACTGAGAAGGTCTCTGAAGAACCCAGAGGTAATTTCTTCTTTCCAAGATCTAGCTTTCGCTACAAATCTGATCAGGGTTTCATGTGAAAACTACAAACATCGTCTCCTTTAAACCATTTTGTTTGTTATTTTTCAAGTTGGGTTAGGTTTTCATTTTTATCTGCAGATTTAAAAAGCCAAAAATGTTCTTTTATTCTGCATTTAGCAGGAATTTTTCGTTGATTTTCAATCTTTCCTGTGTGCTATTTGTGCGTTTAAACTTTATTTCTGGCTTATCTGTTTTGTTTACAGTTTTTGGTGGGTTCAGTTGAATTTTAGGGATTTGCTGTTCATTTCTCTAAAGACTTGATTTTTACTCAAATTTCATCTTTTCCTCGTTCTCATATCTGGTTAAATGTTTTGCATGTTGCAGGAATTTGCTCCTTGCTGCAATAAATTTGGTAAAAATATGTCTTCGAAACATGGTTCATTTGTATAACTGAAGCCGTACTTTTATCCTGTAGTTTGAAATAAACATTCAGTATCCATTTCGTACTATCTCTGGTCGAAAAGTGGTGTGATTCGAACATTTTTAAGTGGTGCTAAGGTTAATCTGGAGCAATTTGGTTTATCAGTTTATAAAACTTGGAATTTGGAAGTGTTCAAATGGAGAGAGATTTGGGTTCTGATGCCAATGCCCCTCCTGGATCAATCGATAAATCTAGGGTTTTAGAAGTGAAGCCGCTAAAAACCCTCGTCCCTGTTTTCCCGAATTCATCGGGCCTCTCCTCAATCACAACCCCTCAGCCCACGCCTTTCGTCTGCATCCCTCCTTCGGGTCCATTTCCCTCTGGTGTCCAGCCGTTTTACCCTTTCCTTTCTCCGAACAACCCCCACTCGACCACCCCAGGCCCTCATCCCCACCCGGCCCAGCCCAATTTCACCTTCACCCCCGGTAACATACCGGCCCCAATCCCCCTCAACTCGTACCGGACCCCAACTCCCCAAGCAAATGGGTCGACCCGTCCCAAGAGGTCCTCCATGACCCGTGGGTCGGAACCCGCTCTCTCAGATGACGATGAGTACAGTGACTCCCAGAACCCGAGCAACCAGTACGCGAGTGGGTTTAACACAGAGGACGCCAGCAACGCCACCGGAAAACGGGCGGCACGGGCCAAGAAGAAACGGGCCGAAAACGGGGCGGAATTCGATATCGAGTCACTTGTCAACCATTTTTTGGCATCGTTTAAGCTCAACGAATTCGACGATTTTCGGAGGTCAAATGGGGACAAGGACACGGTGTCCACCGTACTTACGGTCTACGATCTTCTCCGTAAAAAGCTGACTCAGCTCGAGGAGTCTAAAGATATGGGCCGGGGGATCGCCAGGCGGCCCGATCTGAAAGCCGCTAATTTCATGATGACCAAAGGGATCCGTACTAACAGCTCCAAGAGGGTTGGCCACGTGCCGGGTATCGAAGTTGGTGATATCTTCTTCTTTCGTATGGAGCTTTGCGTTGTGGGCTTGCATGCCCCGACCATGGCTGGAATAGATTACATGAGTGTTAGGGTCACGGCAGACGAAGAGTCTGTGGCTGTCAGCATAGTGTCATCTGGAGGCTATGATGATATTGGAGATGATTGTGATGTCTTGATTTACAGCGGTCAAGGTGGGGTCCAGAGGAGTGACGGGAAGCTTTTCGACCAGAAGCTCGAAAGGGGGAATCTTGCTCTAGAAAAAAGCTTGCATCGAGCTAACGATGTACGGGTTGTTAGGGGTATAAAAGATCCTGCTTACGTTTCTGGCAAAATTTACGTCTATGATGGAGTTTACAGAATTCAAGAGTCGTGGGTTGAGAAGAATAAGGGATGTAATGTGTTCAAGTATAAGCTCGTTCGGGTGCCCGGCCAGCCTAACGGGTTCTCATTTTGGAAGTCGATCCAGCAGTGGAAAGACCAAACTGCCCCTCGACCAGGCCTTATTCTTCCCGATCTGACTTCAGGTGCCGAGAGCCTTCCCGTAGCTCTTGTAAACGACGTGGATGGCGAAAAGGGACCCGCGCATTTCACGTACATTCCAAACTTGAGATACTCGAGACCCTTTTCAACATCTAAGCCCTCGTTGGGCTGTCACTGCCTCGGAGGATGCCAGCCGGACGATACAAACTGCCCTTGTCGGCAAAAGAATGATGGTTTCATTTCCTACTCGCCTATAGGAGTTCTTTTGACGAGCAAATCACCAATATACGAGTGTGGGCCCACCTGCGCTTGCCCTCCCAACTGCCGTAACCGAACGTCCCAAGCGGGGGTCAAGGCCCGTTTAGAGGTCTTCAAGACGAAAAACCAAGGGTGGGGCCTCAGGTCGTGGGACCCGATTCGCGCGGGTAGTTTTATTTGCGAGTATGGAGGGGATGTTATCGAGGGGTTCGACGATGGGGGCGATTTCGGTACTGAAAACGACGATAATTATGTGTTTGATGCAACTCGCGAGTATGGCTCGTCTAGTTCAAGGAAGACTCAGTTTCCACTTGCTATCAGCGCGAAGTATAATGGGAACGTAGCTCGTTTTATGAACCATAGCTGCTCGCCGAACGTGTTTTGGCGGCCCGTTTTGCGAGAGAGTGGTGGTGGTGATAATGGAGTTTTTGTGCACGTGGCTTTCTTTGCCGCTCGTCATATCCCGCCGATGCAGGAGTTGACATATGACTATGGGAAAGTTATGAGTGGGAATTCGGACAAAGTAAAGAAGAAGAAGTGCTTCTGTGGGTCTGCGAAGTGCAAAGGTTACTTTTATTGATGGGCGTGGATCGGCTGCTATGGATGGAGATTTTGATGCTTTTTTAATGGGATTTGGGATGAAGGTTGGATATTTATCAGTTTTCTATTTTTTTTTTTAATGATCCCTTTGTTTTATGAACTTATTTGAAATATGTTGTTTTAGCTCTTTGCATGTCCTTATATATGTGTTAAGGCTTTTACGAATTGTGGAGATAAGGGGCTCGGAGCTACTTTTAGTTTCTGCAATTTTGAACTCTAGAGAGAGAGAAAAAAAATGCAATAAGAAGAAAATATTGAATGTTTTTTAATGGGATTTTTGGATGAAGGTTAAATATTTATCAGTTCTCTATTTTTTTTTTTTTTTTAAAGATCCCTTTGTTTTGTAAACTTATCTGAAATGTGTTGTTTTAGCTCTTTGCATGTCCATATATGTGTAAGGGCTTTTACAAATGTGGGGATAAGGGGCTCGGAGCTACCTTTAGTTTCTGCAATTTTGAACTCAAGAAAAAAATAAAGCAACAAGAAGCATATATTTGATGTTTTTAACTGCAGGAATAATAAAAATTCATGATGTGAGTTTTAATGAACTTTCGAGAAAGTGAGGTAGTCATGTTGATTCCTTTGGTTGCTAAGGAGGGTGCTGATAGTTTCAAGTTTTAAAGAAAATTTTCCTCCTTAAAAAATTGCATAGGGATTGAGTTACTTGAAGCAAAATGTTTGACATTGATCGATTTTTCTGTTTCACAAGGGTATGAGACTTGTTGTATGATTGGCTTCTACATTGCATTAGTTTTTAGTTTTACCAAGTTGTACTCTGTATTCCTCTCTCTCTCTCTCTCTCTCTCTCTCTCTCTCTAAATATATCCAAAATGGATGACCTACTTTTTGAAGAAAAATACTTCAGAAAATGTCATACTTTTCAAACAATGTAAAACAATCATTTGACACCTTTGCAAATATGTGACATTTTGAAGCAAACTGCTTTAGTATGCATTTTTATTTAAATGTACATCATAGGTCGAAATTAACTTGCTCAACTAATGACTGTTTGTGACGTGTGTGTGTGTGTGTGCGTTTGTGATGAATATTGATTATTGAATTCTTTTGTGGAGTCCTTTTGGCACTTGTTTGCTAATCGAACGTTGAGGTCGTCCTATCCTTGATTGTTCGATTAACATGCTGATCGTTGTTGATAAGTATATCTAAACTTGATTTTTTTTTTTTTT